TTCTTACTCGCATCTTCCCTGGCTGCTTCATTCTATTTGTATCTGAGAAAGAGCTGACACAAATGGAGATGCCAGAGGGTACAAAAATGGTAGGTGACATTTCAGGAGCACATGCTCAGGGCCAGGCTGTGTGAGATGCTCTCTTGGTACCTTGTGTAATTTAATCCTCACGATCACCTTATGTTGTTGGTACTATGTGTTATCCCCATTTCATAGATGAAGAAACAAACACAAAGTGTCTGAGTATCACGGCTGGGATCACAAAGCCAGAAAGTGACAGAAATTTGAATCCTCCAAGAAAACCCGAGTCTGGAGCCTGCCTCCTTGGGATAATCAAGACGGTCTACGTGGGTTAAATACCCTTTTCCCACCAGATGGCTATGGGAAACCCAGAGAGACAGCTCTTGAAGTCTCACCCATTACATCTTCAAAGGACCGCCCACCACAGAGGTAGAAAGGGCTCCCCTCTTGCTGCACTCACATTACTGCCCTCAGTCATAGTGGGAGACTTTACCCACCCCTCCCCTGTCCTGCCTCCCTGGGCTTTGGGGAAATTTTAAGTAGCCTCTCATGAGTAGGCCGGGAGTCTAAGAGCTTGTAAAATAAGCAGTAACTATTCAGCAAACTGAATATTATGGACAAAGTGTGTATGGTTCCATTGGAAGGGGTTGCTTGTCACAAGGTTGTATGGCTTAGGTGGTTTTCCTCCAAGTGATGTAACATGGACTTTTGCTGCTCTATCCACTCTCTAATCCGAATCCACTTACCCTCAGTGAGTTTGCATTTATCTCAAGAAGGTAGTCAGAGGTGTGTGGCTGCAGTGAGGCTGAGCCTGGGTCCTGAGCGGAGTGTGGAGACGAAGTTCACCAGCCGTGTTCCAAAGCCGCATCTTCTCTCCGTGGCTCTAGTTCGCAGTTCCTGCTTTCCATTCTAGAATTGCCCCAGGTGTAGGAATGGTCACTTTGTTTCCTTTGTGTATAGCTGGATGGTTGCTGTTCTCAAGCTGAACTCAAAGGGATGACAACTTGTTTAAAGTACCAGCCCCACAGGTAGCCCCTCTGGATCATGTTTTGTGTTGGCTCTTGGAATTGGAGCTGGTTATCTGACTCCTTCCAAGTAGCTTCAGTCTGAAACTGGCCTCAAGGAAAGGAAGGTGCTAATGCTGATTTACACATAATTTTCAGAATTATTCACAAGTGGGTTGGAACAATTCCTTTATTCCCGAGTTTTCTAATGTGTTTTAATAGGGAAAAATTCCACATTCAAGGAAGTTCAGAGTATGCTGGGTTAAAAAAGAGAAACGGGTTTATGTTCTGGATGATTGTCAGAGCCTTTAACATCATGATGGGAACTGTGAATCTGTAAAAGAACAATAGGGTACCCAGTGTCTCCCAAACTTAACTGCACCAAGAATCCGCATTCGTCAGACATATTCTGGTACCAGTGCTTCTCAGAAATACATCGTGGGTGAGAATATAGACAATGGGTCCCAACTGCAAAATCCAGCTCTGCCGAAGACTATGGTCTGGACCAAGGCACTAAACCTCTCTGCACTGCAAAATAGAGGTGATAATAATAATACCTACTTTACAGTGTTGTGGAGATTAAGTGACTATACACACACACACACACACACATATACATATATATATATACACACATACACACACCTACCCATCTGCCTCACATTACTAAGTGTGCTATGTGTTAGCTATTGCTGTTAAACCAGTTAGCCCTCTAGTTACTAACGATATAGTTCCTATACACATGTAAAGTGTAAATTCTGTAAGCTAAAGTTCCTCGTGACTTTTCTGTAATAAAAGGAACATCTGAACTGGGGAATAATATAGTGGCTTTGAGTTTAGGGAAAAACTCAACACTTTCCAGCTTAAATCATCTGTCTAGTCAGTATGGGTACAGTCATGATGAATGAAAATGTTGACTTTGAGTAACTAAAGGTAAAAGGAAAAGAAAAAAGGAAAAGTGAACAGGGGCAAGAATTATTTCTGTATTCCTTTCATTTGGACTAGGTTGAAATAGAAAATGTCAGGTTCTGGGTAGCGTGTAACTGTAGACATCAAACACTGAAAATTCCAGCTTCCTGGATGTATGCTGTGGAAAGAATGAAGTTAGTTGCTCAAGTCTAGCTGGGGAAGAAGCTGAGAGAAAGGCATATCAAGACGTGACTTAGGCAGTGAATTAAAAATATATCCATTCATTCAAACAGTAAAATAAATACACTTTATTCTCTAGGTACAAAAGATAGAGCTCTGTTTTCAGCAGTTCAATCAAATGGAGGAATCAACTGTCAACAACAAACTACAATAAGATAAGCTTTAAGATCCATAAAAAGATAAACTTTAAGATAGAGGTACTGGAACAGTGGTGTGGAATCTCAGAAAATGATTCCACTAAAAAGGTAGGCGGTGGATCTTAGACTGTGGAAGACCCATCTCAGGGCTTCCTCTGTGTTGTCCACGCTGGACTTCCGGGTTCCTAGGACATGAAGCCACCCTTCCCACACCCCCTCGCCCTATTTCTAAGGTTCTGGTGCAGCCCTCATGCCCACAGGTGGTGCCTTCAGCTGTGAACCCCCTCCCCATAAACACTGATATCAGATGCCACATTCTGGTGCCCCCAGACCCTGGGTCCCCAGCCTCTGCGCCGCTCCTGTAGCCCCTCCCCTTTCAGTGCTGATGGTGTCTTTAAGCCCTCTCCCTGCCCTGCCCTCAGCTTCCGCAGAGGGTGGCTCCTTGCACCCCCCCACTGCTATGGGGGGCTAAATTATCTACATTTTGTAGAGGGAACTCTATATTTGTAGGGAATGTAGGGGTCCAGGCTGAGTCCCTGTCTCTTGTATAAACTGTACAGACTGAAAAAAAAAATGGCCTGGCCCAGAATCAACTGTTTGATGCTTATTTGCCTTAAGTGTGGATGTACAATACAGGAGGGAAGACTTCCATTCTAGAGCAAGTGCTTCAATCTGGGAGGCTGCGAGAGGGCCCCACTAAGCAAAAATGGGAGGCTTGATCGCTTGTCCTTCAACAGACTGGTCCAAAATGACTATATAAAGTAAATACCATAAATCACCGTTGTCAGGGCGCACACTCCACCTCCTCGCTCCCTTCCCCGCCGCCGTCCTCATTTCCACACCCCCTCAACGGTTCAGGGAGAGCTCGTGGTCTAAGTAAACGGGAGGACTTCTGACTGTAATCCTAGCACGTCACTTTGTTGAAGGCAAACACGTGGTTCCGAGAGAACTTATAAATCTCTCCTCCCAGGCAAGATCGTGATGTTATCTGCTGGCAGCGGAAGGTTTGCTCCAAGGGGAGCTCCAGAAGCTCCCAACGAGAGAGAGAGAGAGAGAGAGAGAAGGGAGACGGAGAGAGGCAGACAGAGATACAGAGAGACCGAGAGAGGGGCAGAGAGAGAGACACGCACAGAGAAGAGCGAGGGAGAGAGCAAGTGAAGGAGGCCAGCGGAAAGGGATGGAGAACCTAGGATAACGGTCTAGAGAGCCATTCGGGACGAGCCGAGGGCTGCCAGGCTGCAGGAAAGAGAAAGCAGAGGAACGGCTGCAGGCTGCCAAGTGCCTACCTACCCTAAGCGAGAAAGTCCAAGTGGGAGAGAAACCCGGAGAGGGTGGCAAAGGGTGGGAGTCCAAGGGAACCCCCTCGCAACCCCCCAGGAATAAAACTCCCCAGTCAGCGCGGCCCGGGGCTGCCGCTGCGGTCCGCGGGGGCTGAAAGCAACGGCGGCGGCAGCCGGTCGTCTGTTGCCGGGTTGGCGTTTGGAGCGAGAGGAGAAGGAGGAGCAGAAGGAGGGAGCTGGAGGCTGGACGCGTTCGCCAGCGGCGGCGGCGGCGGCGGCGGCGGCAGCAACGTGGAGTAACCGGGCGGGTCGGCGCGCCGGCCGGGGTGTCGGCCCCCGAGCGCAGCTCCGGGCGCAGGATCCTCGCCGCCTCCCTCCGCTGTCCCCGCGGCCCCCGCCGGACCCGATCCAGTCCGAGCGCCGCGCCGAGCGCTCCCGCGTCCCCGCCGCGAGCCGGGCTCGCCCCCAGCACGCGCACGCGGGCGCGCGCGCGCATACACACACACACTCACACACGTGTGCGCTCCTCCGCTCCGGAGCTGCTGCTGCTCCTGCGCTCAGCGCCGCAGTGGAAGGCAGGGCCGCACGGCTCCTTCTTTAAATATCTAAATTGGAGCCGGCCGGCCTCGGCGGCCCCCCTGACAGCGCTCCCGGCGCCCCTCCCGCCGGCGCGCCAGCTGCCAGCCCCGGGACCTTTTCATCTCTTCCCTTTTGGCCGGAGGAGCCGAGTTCAGATCCGCCACTCCGCACCCGAAACTGACACACTGAACTCCGTTTCCTCCTCCTAAATTTATTTCTGCCTCATAGCCACTCGTCTCTTTTTTCCCCATCTCGTCGCTCCAAGAAAACTTTTTCTGACTCCCCAAAGTGAGGGTTCCCCCTGCCCATCGTGCATGAATATTTCCACTTGGGGAACGACCTGCCTTTTCTTTTTAAAGGAATTCAAGCAAGATACCTTTTTCTCTCGGACATTGACTCTCGGTTGTTTGCAAAAGTTTCGCATTAAAAAAAAAAGCTACCTGATCTGTACTTGGAGAGTTGTTGTTTTCTTTTTTTTTTCTTGCTTGTTTTTACTTTTTAAAAAAATTTTTTCCACCTTTAAAAAAATGCACTACTGTGTGCTGAGCGCTTTTCTGATCCTGCATCTGGTCACGGTCGCGCTCAGCCTGTCTACCTGCAGCACGCTCGACATGGACCAGTTCATGCGCAAGAGGATCGAGGCGATCCGCGGGCAGATCCTGAGCAAGCTGAAGCTCACCAGCCCCCCAGAAGACTACCCCGAACCCGAGGAGGTCCCCCCGGAGGTGATTTCCATCTACAACAGCACCAGGGACTTGCTCCAGGAGAAGGCGAGCCGGAGGGCGGCCGCCTGCGAGCGCGAGCGGAGCGACGAGGAGTACTACGCCAAGGAGGTTTACAAAATAGACATGCCGCCCTTCTACCCCTCGGAAAGTAAGTACTGCTTCACGCTCCCATTCCCCGGGGCTTAGCGCTGCCCGATGCTTCCAGAACCGCAGCCACTCCAGGGATCGCCCTTCCCTCTCCGGGTCCCCGCTGGCTCTTTCCCCTCCTCGGGTCCTCCGTCCCACCCACCTCCTTCCCAGTTGTGTGCCCGAGGACGTGAGGCTTTAAAACGTGGACCTGCGACTTTATTTTCTCCATTTTTCCCTTCCCCCAACGCCCCCGTCTTTTATAAGGCGTAATTCTCTTTTTCTCTGCCCTGAAATTCTCGACTCGGCCACCAGCTAGGAGTCAGCCCTCCTCTGTCAAACTGGAGGCGCTCCCTGGGGTAGAGTTAAACTGGGGAACCTTGGTGGGTTTGTTTTCTTTGCTCCGATTGGCGTGGAGCCCGCCGAACTGGTGCACGAAGGGTTAAAAAAAAGTGGCTCAGAACTAGCCTCTCCGGAAGGCGCCCCTTTCCGTGCCGAACTATCAGCTGATTCCCCAAGCCTCCTCTATTGTCTGTAACTCCCCGAAAATGTCAGCATCGCCAAGTCAAAAGCTGGTTTGGAGACCCCTCGGAAAAACCTACCTCCAGCCCCTCAATTCTTGAATCTATGGCCGTAGCGAGGTGTTTACATTCCCCCAAGGCGAGATCTTGTCACCACGTCCCCGTTTGATTTCACCTGGAATGGTAGAAAGGACAACTTCGCTTCTGACTGTGTTTCAAAAGGGTTTTTAGTTCACGTTACTTTTTCAGAATTCACTCAAACCTGCCTTTTTAAAACCGCCGGTGTGGCAGGTCATTTTTCCTTCTGTGTTGATCGTTTATCTTTCTCACTCTCGAGCCCGGTGCTCCCTGCCCTTTCATAGGCTTCCTGCATTACTTCGCTGCATTCCTGAATCTCAGCATAGAAGACAGCCGATTTTTTTTTTTTTAAACTGGCTTCTCTGAGGGCAGTGTCCTCAAAACCAGCTGGCATACAGTAGCGATGGGAGTGAAATGATTTATCCTGGCGTTCCTTGGGGGGAAGGGAGGAGGACAGTTAGCTTAGAATTATTTCCAAGTTCTTAAAAAGAAAAGAAAAGAAAAGAAAAGAAAAGAAAAGAAAAGAAAAGAAGCATCCAATGATACCTGAGAGGGTTAAATACCAGGAAGAAGGGAAAAAAAAAAACCTCCAACATTTGCCTATTCCAAATCCCAAGCCGTGCACTTTTCATTGGTTGCCCATTTCTCTCCTCCCCTTTCCATGGCCTATATACTTGCTGGCTGCTTTCACAAAGTCTCTGTGTCTTGCCTACATAGATTGTATGGCCATCCTGGTAATTTTATCCTAGAGGTTCTAATTGCAGGGTGGTGCCTTTCTTTTGTAATATTTATGGTTAATTTGACAAGTCCTAGTTCCGTGACTTGCCATGTCTTGTTCTTGATGGTCTCACAGCTCAGGCTGAAGAATCCAGCCCCTTCCTGGCGACCTCTGTTTTGCTGCACCTCCTCCTCTTGTTCAAGAGCCGAGCAGAGGCAGGAGATCCTGGCAAGCAGGGTGATTTTATTATTGTAATTATAGCACCATCCACTGTATTTATCAACGGTGGTGATAAAGGCACTCCCCCCTGGTGATTCCCCTGGGGAAGTAAAGTGGTCCACCTGGGGTGGAGCCAAGGAGATATTAGGAAAGAAAATTCATTGTATTTAGTTCAGAACCACTGAGACCCAGCAGGGAGTGAAGTCAGCTTGCTTTCCCGAGCGCGTGCATCAGTTCTGCTGGAATCTGGGCAGGCAGCAAGGGTGTTCAACAGACCTTGAGCAAGCCACCCCTTCAGTGTTTACCTGCAAAAGCTCTAATGAACCACCAGCACTTTCATAGCCGAGAGGAGGTCTGATCTCTTCATTAGACAGGTGTGGAGAGAGCAAGTTACCCAAGAGGGTGTTAATTCTTTGCTCTTTCAAGCACTCTTCAGTCTCAAGAACTGAGATGATCCAACCCAGGATCATAATCATCACCGAACTGGACAAATTCTCAAATTATTAGGATTTCAGAGGTTGACATCTAAGCTCCATTTGTGAATTTTCTTCCGCATTCACTCCCAAGTACCAAGTTAATGAAACCCTCTGACAACTGCCGTATAAAATAGATACTATCAGTTTGCTTGCAAGGAACACAAGCTTTTTAATCCTTTTGTTCCGTATGGAAGTTTTGAAGCAGAAAGCCATATTCAGAGCAGGTCTGATACTGCTGTGCTAGGACTGTGGATAATTTTATAGAAAGTAGGTTAACTGATTTTCCAGCACTTTCTAGTTCTACTGGAATATAGTGAACCCTTCCAAAAAAAAAAGGAAGAAAAGAAAAAAAAAATCACTCCACCATATTTTTAAAGGGCAAATTGAAAGTACAGCATTGGCTTGTATACCAACTTTCCCTCTTCAGGACTTTTCTGCCTTTTAACTCGGTCCTCGCTGAAGTGGCAGTGGAGAGAGAGCATGTCTGTCATTTCTTGCAGTGAATCCGGGGAGGGTCATAAGCCCCAGAGAGGAAGGCATGGGAAAGATCACTGGTTCATTTTTTACCACCAACTTATTAGCGTTCAGGGAGTGACTTCAGCTCAAATATTACAAAAATGCTCTAATTATATTCAATGAGCTATATATCATTACAGATTGTTGACAGACCATTGTGGGACATTTTATAGAGTTCAGACTAAATATTTTTAGCAATGCGGAGTTTTAAAAGTAAAAATATAAGAGATATTGTATATGCCTTCAGGCATATTTTGTCTTAAATATTATCCTTGGCCCAGTGTACTATTTAAATACAGTCAATATGAATAGAACTGGCCAGGTGCCAATCTCCTAGGATGAATTTTAGTCAAGAAGGTATTTATGGGATATAAATAATACTGTGTCAACATTTGAAGAAGGGGCCTGATTAGTTTTAAATGTATTCGTATTGATCTTTTCACATGCTGTTAGTTTAAGGCTCAAAGTGGAGTTATGCTAAGGTGTACGGATACTTTATCCGGTGGGAATTAGTGGACTTCTTGTCCTTTGGACAATCCGTTTGAACTTCAAGGCACATCTGTTCAAAAGACACTGGACCAGGCTCTAGAAACTTAGGAGTGATTCCACTTTCATAGAGTAAGAATCCACATGATAAACAGTTAAAGTATGTAGAAACTTGGTCAGTCAAAAAAAGGAAGAGACAAAAAGTTGCCTTTTCTTTCTTTCCCCTCTCTTTTTCATTGTTAACAAACCAGGCAGTATTGTGGTTCTAATTCTGGTGATTTTGTACCTCCCTCTGCAACCCCTGAGCCCAGGAACGTTTGGGAATGTCTAGAGACATTTTTGGTTGTCATGGCTGGGAGTAAGGGGCCCTACTGGCATTTAGTGAAGAGAGGCCAGGGATGGAGCTAACCGTCCTAGAATGCACGGGACAGGTACCCTTCCCCCACCCATCAAAAAATGATCCATTCCCAAATGTCAGTAATGCCCACGTGGAGAAGCCAGGGTGACCCTGGCATTTATTTGGGGTTACTGAATTCTGCTAGTAGTGCCATTTCAAGAGTACCAACTTAAAAATAAAACATCTTTAGGATCAAAAGGACATCAAAATTGAACAGGAAGATAATCAGAAAGTTATCTTAAATAACTGAGAGTATGAATTAGACTTTTTTGTATGGAGTACACTTTATTACGAGTATCTTAAGGTGCCTAAGTTAGAGGCAGCAGAACTTCCCATTCATTTAGCTTAAGTAATGATGTTGCCCTGCCCATCGGTAACTGGGTAGCTTCAGTCAGCTGCCGTGTGATGTTAGTCAGAACAGAGAAAAAAAGAAGTGAGGAATTATCTTGGATTTTCCTTGCAAGGAAAATAAGCAGTTCGTGTTAATAAAGAGTAGAATCTCCAAGCTAAGCAGCCGAAGAAAGTAAATAATCGTGTTGGTTTTTTCTATCATATCGAATTAGATAAACTAAAATATACAGCCTGCAACATCGTGGTGAGGTTTCCTTTGTAACTTTCACATAAATGTTAAACATTTAATACCAAGCCATCACTTTTTCTATTTCCCCTGTAATTTTCCAAGTGAAATCGTGGAATCGAGAATGAATACCAACAACACTGTGGTTTGGGGGAATGTGACTTAACATTCTATTCATGGATGTGTCTCTCTTTACACACAGCACGGGATGATTGGCCAGTTGCCCAATGAGGAGAAATATTAGTGACTGCCAGAACATAGTAGCACTTTTGCTTTATGTCCAGGGTTTTTTTTCTTTATTTTTCAGTAGAACTATAGTTGATTTGCAATACTGCGTTAGTTTCAGGTGTACAGCAAAGTGATAAGGATTTTATTTTTTAATATTCTCTGTGTTTGGGTGTGTGACACAGAGAGAGAGAGAGAGAGAAATAAAAGACAGACTTGAACCCCTTCCCTTGACTTTTACGATGTGATTGAGTTAATACTACACAACAGACCAAACTTTCACTCCCCCACTTGTATTGCATCATCACTTGTACTAACTCTAGCGCCTAATTGTGGTTACATTTAACTTAGGCCACATTCTCTTCCAGGATTTCCTCTCTTTTCTTTCTTTTACTTTTCAAAGACTAGGAAAAGCCCTCAAAGAAATACAGTGTTTATAACTGGAGCAGTTGGGCCATCTTTGTTGCCAAGTGCTGCCAGACGGCTTCAGATGGCTCCTGGGGAGTCCCCACCTGATGAAGGCTAGACTTTGGGAAGCTGGAGGGGTGGCTGGGGGACCACTTGACCTGGCAGAGGCTCCCGGAGCCCTCTGCGTCTCCACAGCGCCCCCTGGGGTCTACTCGAGGAGTGGCACTTTCTGAATGATGCCTTCTCCCTGGTGAAAAGATGCTGATCTAATGTAGTCACAACATCTTTCACACAAAGATATGAAAGGATGACAGATCATTTTTCCTAGAGGAAACCGAGATGTGAGAAAAGGACTAATGACTCATTGTTGATCCCATATCCAATCTGGGTTAGAACGGAGG